ATAGCATTCTTAATATTTTAAAGTTATTTTCCAGATCTCCTCCATATTTTGTATTCAGAGAATTAATTAACATTGGGACATAAAGTTTCATTCAAATTTCAAAACAAGGCACTGATGTTTTATTTCAGCAGTACCTGTAACGTTGGCTTCCAGTTAGAACATCCTTAGCATTTGCAGCACAATCCTATACTCAGCTATTCCCTGTCGAGGTCAGTGGGGTATACACATAAGGCAGTGTTTATAGTGTTTCAACGGAAAAATATAATTACATTCCAAACGTATCATCTTGAAAGTGAAATTTCAGTCTACGCAATGCAACTCTGCATCATTTGGATAATTTTACTATGTATCTTAACTGAGGAGATATTTAAATTGAAATGTTCCTTTGTGCAGGAATTTTTCATATTCCTTTAAAGTATGGTATTATTGCTCATAGTAATTAGACAAGGGAGTAGCCAGTCCAGTGGCGACAGACAGACAGACAGACAGACAGACAGACAGACAGACAGATAGATAGATAGATAGATAGATAGATAGATAGATAGATAGATAGATAGATAGGATAGATAGATAGATAGATAGATAGATAGATAGATAGATAGATAGATAGATAGATAGATAGATGATATTATTTGATTTCATTTCATTTGTATCCCGCCCATCTGGTCTATATGACCACTTGAGGGCAGAGAGAGAGAAAAAGTCACCAACTTTTATTCTTTTTAGAACTCCCATCCAAAAAGTTGCAAAGAAAACATTTATATGACATATTTTAGAAAGAAAATTATCTAACATCTAGAGATTACTATTCATTGTTTATGATAAAATCAGTGATGTATCTAATATGAAAATGCAAAACCAGATAATCTCTTCTATTAATAAAGCAGAAAACACATGATTGAAGTTTACTTCAATTATTGTATTTGAAGCAATTATTACAACATTTTGGTTGACTGCCCAGAAATTATATCCCAGTAAGATTATCCCCTGTTGCCCTAAATGAGGGTCTGCTTTTCTGTTTCTGTGGGTTTTGTAAAATCTATACTAATGAAGGAAGATTGAAAGTGGAAAGAAAACCAGACAAATATTTATGAAGATACAGCTGGAATATCAAGAGGGATAGTAACAACAACTATAAGAATATTTGAAACATGCTTGTTAGTTTTAGATGTGGCAGTTTTCAGAATAAATTATGATTTTTTTTTAACACAGAAGACATGTGTAACTAGTGGAACTTTGTCCAGGGAACTACTATTTTGTGTTGGAGAGTGCTTTCCATTGTTACAAAAATGGATGTTTGATGACAGCACTTCCAGGACATTCCATAGGTTGTGAATGGCAAATCAGAAAAAACATTTTGCTCACAAATGCTGGAATTTAACATCATTCTGGGATTCGCCACCACATCCATTCAAAACACTTTCTGATAGCATATACGTAGTACCTAGCACCTATCTGATAGATAGAGAAGTATGATAAAAAATTCTGAAATTCTCTTTTCATTCTACCGCACTGAACAAGTTGTTCATTGACATTTAACATTTTCTACACCAGTTCCCTTGTTTAGCGGGCAAACAGCAAAAGAGGCAAAACATCTGTGATTTGTGAAATGATGCAATCTTTGGATCTCTTTCTCACTTTTTTTTTTCATTCTACCTGAAGAATACAGAATAGGACCATGTTCCCTGCTAGACCCACTTTTTATCTTGTATAAAGCTAAAATGAAAAAAAAAAGCCTGAGCAAGGGTAGGATCTTATTTTAAGACACAAACTATATATTCAGAAATTAGGGGTAGGGCCAGGATGTCACAGTAGCATAAGGGCCAATTGAGAGTGCATACCACCCATGGCTGTAGATATCCCATTTCGTTATTTGTTTGTGAAGCCTGAGCAAGGGTAGGATCTTATTTTAAGACACAAACTATATATTCAGAAATTAGGGGTAGGGCCAGGATGTCACAGTAGCATAAGGGCCAATTGAGAGTGAATACCACCCATGGCTGTAGATATCTCTTTTCGTTATTTGTTTGTGTGTTCGTTCGTTCGTTCGTTCGTTCATTCATTCGTTCATTCATTCATTCGTTCATTTTTTCATTTGATGTATATATGGACCCATTAGTGCACACACTACTCTGGGCAGTTTACTGGCCTCACTTGGTGTGGCCGCATTTACAGTATCTCTGTGGACTGGGGTCAGCAAGTGAATTCAGGTAGCTGAATTTTGATAAAGTTATTTCAAGAAGTATTGAGATCCTAAACTGTTAAGGGCTTTATGGGTCATAACCAGCATCTTGAAATGAGCATGGATATTCCCTCAGTAACCTATTCTTCAGGCCTCTCAGTTAGGCTTTTATGAATGTCACATATTTTCCTACTAAATTAGTGCAGGTTACGCAGAAAATATGCATACATATAATATGGCATCTTAATATCTAATGTTTGGGGAGGCATGTATTATTTCTTATAATTCTGTTTTTGTTTGTTTGTTTTGTTTTGTTCAGTATTTTATATATTGGAAAACAATTCCATATTAAAAGAAGCATTTTTAAAGAAAATGAAGTTCCGGACAGAAACCAAAACGCTTCACATTGATGACTATGGTAAATATATCTAGAAGTTATTGAAACAAAACATTTTTGTCAGATAATATATGTTTTCTATCCTTGAAACTACCAGCCTTTAATGTTTTGCTCTTTTTTTAAAAGAACTTCCTTTACAGTTATCATTTCCAAAGGAGTTCACAGACCGGAATGCATATCCCCTTTTGTTAATAGTGTAAGTATATATTTGGCATTATTTAAATTACTAAAATCGAATTGTGAATTTGTTTGTTTCCATGATATCTTACCATCAGAAAAGCACTTTAGTTCACGTAAAAAGACAGTTTTGTTAAGTGCTTGAGTAACTGGTGTGATGACTTCAGATGTATGTGTTTACACAAATATGGAAAAGAGCAACCCATTCAACATTTTAGTTTCTTTTTTCCAGTGAATATGAAAGGCAGAGCTAACCCTAACCCTAACCTTAACCCTCTTTTGGATTCCTTTATTTCTGATTTCCCTTCTATTCTTCCTAGCACTCCAGAACCCTGTAAAATTACTCCAAAAAGCAGCGAGGCAAGACAAAAGACCATCAGTTTACCCAAAAAAAGAAAAAGGAAAAGGAAAAAGGAAACAATGCATGAGAAATTATCATCAGAT